CTGCAGATAAACCTGGTGGAAGCCACGGAGCTGCTGCATAATAGGTGGAAGTGAGCTGCAGATAAAGGAGCACAATGTGCCTCGGGGCCCTGTTTGGTTTCCCTGGCGGCCTGAGCCCAGGGCAGAGCCTGCTGCTCTCTGCTGAGGGCCTCTTCAGCGAGGGTGGGACAGGCTAAAAATACCCCACAGGCAATGAAATATGGGTGATACGGGGCCGTATCGCTGCCAGAGGAAGCAGAGAGGGAGGCACTGTGCAGAGCCACAGCTGTGCCCAAGCCACTCCCTGCTTTCCCTCCCTCCATGGGGATGGGAACGCATGCCTGGAGCATCCCCAAACCCCCATGCTGGGGTGCTGTGGGGAACCAGGACAGACCCTCTGCAGGGACCTTCCCAGGAGGTGCCCCTTGGCTGGCTCCCGTCAGGCACCAGCAGAGCTCTGCGGCCCCATGCTCTGCGGGGAGGAAATGCCAGTAGGAAGGGGACCGGCGCAGCCCCATAGTGTTTACCACCGGGCAGCCGCTGTTTGCTCTCCTCGCTGTCCCAGGCTGATATTTTTGTTGGCACCAGGAGATCATCACGCTTTTCCCTGCAAGGTGGAAAACAAGACGACCGCAAGCCCCCTTGATGGAGCCAGCGGAGCCACGCGTGCCCGGCCCCCACGTGCTGCAACAACACGGCCCCGCACACCGCTATTGTTCCCGTGTTGTGACAATGGTGGCTGCTGTGACCCCGCGCCGCCGGGACCTTCGTCGGCACGCGCCAACAACAACAGCCAGAGCTCACCTGCACCGCGGCAGCGGGGATGGGGCAGGCGTGGGACCCCCTGAAGGCGGGCGGGCAGCCCTAAGACAAATAAAAGTTTGCAGCTGATAAGCGTGCTGGCTGGCCCGTAGGAGCCCTTTTGGACAGATAGCAGAGGGACAGACATTCACGGCCTTTCTCACACCTCTGGGTTGCCTCCTGAATAAACAGCCCCCTCCGGTCCCCTTCTGGGAACAGCACTCGCTGTCCCAAAGCCCGGCCCTGTGCCGTGGTGCTGAGTCCTGCAGCTCCCCGTGGGCACCCCAGGACGGGCATTTTTCTGGGCGCTGCCCCCCACTGCCTCCCCTGGGATGGGGAAGCCCCACGGCAGAGCCTATGGGGTTTTTCTCTGTCCAAGGCTGGAGGTTTTTTCAAGGGTGCAGCCCCTAAAACAATCTCATCGTGAGCCTGCCTATGCCGTGCCCCATGTGCATGTTTTCTTTAATGGAGTGCAAGCAACAACTTGCTGCTGTTCCTACACCCATAGCTCCTGGAAGAAAGTGAGTGCCAAGAGAGTGATGTGATGTCTTCAAGGTGTGAAAGAAACAGGGAGGGAGGAGCACCGGCAGGTGGATGTGCACCCAAACAATGTGGAGCTCAGGGATCCCAGGCAGAGGCATCCCTTGGGCACAGCTTTTGGGTGTCCACTCGGAGCACCTCCTCATCCAGGAAGGGTTTAGGGGTGCTCAGCTGGTCCTACAGGGGCGACACGTTGCCCAGGACGCCAGTTCCTGCTGGGGCCATTGCCCAAACACCAACCACTGTCCCAGGACCACCAGTTAGCACCAGCCTGCACTGGGTTCTGCACAGTACAGCCCAGGCTGGAGGCAGGAGCAGTACAGACTGCTGCAGCTCGTCCCACCACAAGACTCTGTCCAAGGAGCTGGCCGAGCACCAAGGAGTTTATTTTTAAGCTTTCCCAGCGCAGAGAAAAGAGCAAGCTGCTAAATCTGATTTGTTCGCAGGAAGAGCAGCGGCGGCAGCGGGAGCAAAACTGCAGCTGAGAAAGGAGGAAGGGCAGAGGCTGGGCAGGGCGATGCCAGCTGGGACCACAGCAATGATGCATCTCTGAACCCCAGCAGTAGCATGATGGCATCACTAACCGTGGCACAACCCTGCCTCTATCAGCCCAGTCCCTAAGGAGGACCAATGCAGCCAACCCCATGCAGCTCCCTGCAGGGTTATATTTAAGCCTCCACGTGTGGGCACAGCAGACAATGTGGCCCCTGAGACCCGCGTGAGAACCACAGGCAGGAGGAAACGCGCTCAATAGCCTCGACGGCTTCCCGCATCCTGACATTGTCGCTCCCCTCCAGCCGCTTCCTCGTGTTCAGGCAGTGGGGATGCAGCAGCACCCGCACCCCAATGCCCACCCCAGGATGGTGTCCGGGAGCTGTGGCTGCATGAAGAGTTGACACTGAGTGGGATGTGTCCCCTGTTGCTGTCCCTTGCCTTGGATCTTGTTTAAAGTGGAGCTGCTCTTCTCTAAAGGCTCTGCAGGGCTTTTGCTGGAGCCGGCAGCAGCAATGCAGCTATGCTGTGGGACCGTGGGTCCTGCAGAGGGACTGAGACACTGGGAAAGGACAAGATGGGAGCCTGGGAAAACAGCCTGGGTTCACCAGGGCAGGGAGCAGAGGTCCCCAAGGAATGCGGGGACACGCTGGGGGACACAAACCATTCGTTAGCCAGCACCTCTGGGGTGAACACACCTCTGCATCTCGGGGCTGTCGGCACGTCCCGAGTGCCCTGGGGTAACAGTGCTGCCCCAGGACAGGAAATGTGAGTGGGAGTCCCCGTGGGTCCCTGCACTGCTCTGCAGAGCCACGTCACTCATGGCCCTGCTGCTCCAAGCAGCCCTGGTGCCACTACATGGTCATAGAGTCCCAGATCTACAGCTGGCGTGTCACCACACTGAGCTCACCGGACATCCTCTGCAGCTGCCCAGGTGTGGTGAGCTGTGCAGAGCAGCTGAGGGGGCTCTGGGGTCTCCGTTCCCCCCCAGCAGTGTGAGCTGGGAAGCAGAGTGGGGAGGGCAGCAGAGCAGACTGGCTCCATCCCTGCATCCTGCCTCCGGAAACCAAAATCTGTTCCTCGCACCTGTGAGGGACCCCCAACAGCAAACACAGCCACAGCCAGAGCATGGCTCTGCAGGGAGCACAGCTGCCCCTGGAGCTGGTAGGGAGGAAACCACAGGTCTGGCAGGGACAGTCCCAGCACAGCCAGTGGCCCCAGTGCCACTGTGGCCTGTGGACACCAGACCATGGATGGTGGCTGCTGCAGACCCTGAGAGCTCAGTCTGGAGTCCTTTGCTCTGAAAGAAGGGATGAAATGCCTGTGGAACACCAGCAGACACAGATATCGTGCAGTCCTGTCTCAGGAGCTGAGCCCTGGCTGCACAGCATTGTGCACAGCATGCACCCCAAGCACAGTGACATTTTGGCAGTGCTGGATTTAATCCCTGCTCAGAGCACAGCCCACTGCCACATGGGCTTCCTCAAAACCAGATGGGTCCTGTGCTGATGAAGGAGAGCATCCTTCCACAAAGCAGCAGCCCCTGTGCTGGACCACAGCAATGTCTTGCCCATGAGCTGTGGTGCACCAGAGCTGGAAGCTGACTTTTACCATAATGGTGCATTCAGCAATGCTTCCTCTCGCTCCTAGTGAGATATCATGGCTATTTTTCCCAGCTCTGAGTTCTTGCCGACTCCTATTCTTGTCCAGAGAGTGATTCCCAGGCAGCACATTGTTGAGATTCAATGGGAGGAAGGGTGGGTTTGCAGCACCAAGGGTTTAGGAGAATTGTGGCACTTTCCCTCGTTTGTAACCGGTCTGCAGAAAGCCCCCAATGCCCTGGGGAGCCCATGGCTCACCTCTAGTGGTCTGCTGGTGCAGAAACCAGCTGGAAACGTGGAAGCACTGGTCAGGTAGCAGGTATAGATGGCTGCAGAGGTTGGGGATGCACTGCGGAGCTCGTGGTACCCACACAGATGCTGCTCGTGGCCCATCCTTCTGCACACATTGTTTCAGCAAGCGGAGAGGCTGTGTGGGCTTGGGGGCAGGAAATGGGCCAACAAAGCCCCAACAAAGCACGATTGTGCCCTGCGGGCCTGAGAACAGGCAGATCAATGGGCTATAAACAGCCACGGGAGACGCTCCGTCGCAGGGTGAACAAAGGAATTTCAGAAGAGGTTTCCGAGCTGGGTCCGACTGGTCCCAGGTGGGGGAAGTGTTCATTCCCACCTCCAGAGCACAACAGTGAGCCCAGCATCGCTCCCAGCTGAGCTGGGAAAGGCAGAGATTGAGTACAAGGGCCTCTCAGCAAGGGGGACAGAGAGGCATTTGAACTCCAGAACATGGGGAGACAGCAGGACTGGGCTTGGGGCATTGCCACAAGTGTCTTCCTGCACCTTCAGGTCCAAGCAGTGCTGAGCACAGCCACCACACAGCACACGCAGCTCCTCTTGGCCCTGCCTGCCTCATTTCTCTCACAAACAGCCTCAGATGGCAAGTTCCTGGTGGAGAGCTCAGCCAGCAGGCAGCAAGCCAGCCCGAGGAGAGCAGGTCGGGAGGTAAACATGGCCCGGGCAGTAAAGCTGTCAGCGGGGCAGAAGGAAGCGGGACAGAGCAATGCAAAAAGCTGAACTGGCTGCTGACATCAGGGCTTTGCATGAGACACAACAGATTTATCGGCCCCGAGAGGGGAAGGCCAGGCTGGGGCAGGGTGAGAAGGCTAGCTGCGTGACCAGGGAAAAACAAGCCGGGAGGGAGCGATAACCCCATGCTGCAGGCAGAGTAACAGCACAGAGTGGGGCTGATGCTGCTCAGAGTTTCGTCCCACTGTGCTGGTAACACTCCTGTGGCACGAGGGGACACCACTGGCCCTGGCCTGGTTTCAGGTACCCCAGCGCTCGCCCCCTGGCACAAAACATTCCTGCTCCTGTCCCTCGGGCCCCCACCCAGCGCTGTCACCACCCTTCTGGTTTAGATAAGGACGCTGAGGGGAAGCGGTGACGTGGCACGGGGGGGGCTGGGAGGGAGGCACACAGCAACACAGCCTGGCATTTCAGTGCTTCCTCCACCCTTCTGACCATCACACCTCCCCAGCCATGCCAAGTGGGGTTTCTTGAAAACACCAGGAGCAGAAACATGCTCTGAATCAGGTTTTCGGACTGTTGACAATGCAGAAGAAGACACTGAGGCCCAGGACTCACAGAAGTTTAATCTGGCTGTGCCTGTACAAAGCAAGAGTTCTCATTCTCTACACCTCTGAGCTCCACAATGGATGCAGGGCCGGGATGTCTGCCTCCTGGTCCATTTCTCTGCTGCAAAGCCCCAGGATGGTGCAGAGAGCTTCCAGATCCCCACTGTACTCAGGCTCTCATGGTGATAACATGTTGGTGAGGTGCTGAGGTCTCTAGCAAACCAGTCTGGGTTCACAAAGAGCAAGAGGAGATGGAAGTAGGAGGGCAGGTCCTCCTCGCCCTGCAGTCAGCCCACCCTACCCCATATCACTCAGGTCCAAACGTACAGTAGAGAGCAGATCTCTTCTGTTTCCATGCCCACAAAGAAATCAAACCTAAAGCGACACGTGTGGCGGATAAAGCCATGAAGGTTTCGTGCTGCCAAGGCCAGAATGGGTTGAGAGCTGGTGAGTTTCACACATTCCATCTCCAAACCATTGCCCCGTTCCCCATCAGCTGTGGAGGACAGAGTCTGGCTGTAGTCCTGGAGACATTCACAGGGTGGGCAAACCCTGACAGGTCTGCAGAGCCCAGGGAAGGTGACATAGAGGCAGAGAACAGCCCGAGCACAGCCAGGTGCAGGACGGGGTGGTGGGCAGAGGTGTGCAGGTGCAGAGGAGCCCCAGCACAGTGCTGCTGTGCACAGCCCAGGGCCAGCTGGGAGTCCTCAGCTTCAGCCGCGCCGGCAGAACCGACAGCTCCATCAACTCTTCTCGGGCCGGTTCCTGTTCAGCACCGCCCGAGGGGCAAACTCCAACTTCTCCTTGAGGCTCACCACCTCGGTCAGGTCCTTGCCCGCAATCTCCTGTAGTTTTCGATCCTCCCTCCGTTCAGAGATGCTTTTCTCCTCCTCCTCGGCCGGCGGCGGGCTGGGGCCGCGGATGAACCACTCCAGGTGGTATCCAACGGCACCCACCACGAAGGCCACGGGGAAGGTGACGTAAGGCGCGTGGGTTCGCACGGCGCTCCACAGCACGGACCACATGGCGGCACCGAGACGAGCGGCCGAGCCCAACGAGCCCCGCTTGGGCCTACACCGCGGTGCCCGGAGCCCGGCGGCCTCCCCACACCCCGCACCCCGGAGCGGGCGCTCACCGGTGCCCCGCAGCGGCTGCGGGACACGGAGCTCCGTGCGGGCCGCACTCACCCGGGCCCGGCCGCCGCCGCCGCCACCGCTACTTCCGGTACCGGGGCCAGAGCGGCGCATGGCGGTGTGTGCTGCCACCTAGCGGGCAGAGCGGGGAGCGGGGTGGGAAACGAGGGGAAAGGGGGAGAAACGGAGAGAGAAGCGGGGAGACGCGGGTGGGAAGAAAGATGCGGCAGGAGAGCCGAAGGGAGAGCCGTGGGGGGAGAGGCGTGCGGTGAGACGTGGGGTGAGACGTGGGATGGCAGCGGGGGGAGCTCCGCGCAGAGGGAGAGACGGGGGTGGGCGGCACGTGGGGTGAAACCGTGCCGGGAGACCTGGAGGGAAGAGCTGCGCACAGAGACGCGGGCAGCCCGCGCTGGGGTGCCCCTCTGCTGCCCGCCCCTGCCCCAGGCAGAGCAGTCAGCCTCCTTTAGAGGTCCCTTCCAATCCCTACTGTAAGTTCTGTAAGTCTGTGATTTCTCGCCCCCACGGATCATGAACCCCCCCCCCCCCCCATGCCCATCCCTTAACCCCCCCCGTGCCCGCCCCACGCACACGAAGGGCACCACACAGAGCAGGGAAAGGCGAGCCGGGCGCCAGCCATGTCCCCATGGGGAGGTGGCTGCTGCCCCGGAGTAACCAAAGTGGTCTTTTTATTAATTCTGGAGGTTTGTTACAATAAAAACGGAGCCACGTGTCACGGTCACTGTACAGTGCTGGAAGGGCCGGAGGTCTCGGGGGAGTTCAGGGTGTCCCTGTGCAGGCACAGCTCTAAAGCTACGGTGTGGTGGTGGCAGGATTGGGCTGTGGGGTGAAGGGCTGGGAGCTCCATCCCTACGCCCTTTCTCCATCATCCTTCACAATGCCTGATTCCTACTGCCCCCCAAAGAAGTGACATCTGGACCTTTAGCGCCGCTTCTCACCAGGGCACAAAGCCCCCCCCCAGAATCATTGCCCTGCTCTTGAGACCCTCCCAAGCCTCCACTGTGAGGGGACACAAGCTGAAGCCCCCCGCTCCCAAATCCTGAAGAGCTGGCTGTGGGTTTGGGGAGGTGCCTGGCACCTATAGGAACTCGAGGCACCGATGTCCACTCCCTCTGCCACCCACCCATGGGAAGAAGGGGACTTGGGGATGGGAGCCCTTGGAGGGGTCACAGTGCAGGCAGATTCCCTGGGCGTGGGGGTGGTGGGAGCAGGCAGCTGGGGCTGCTCCCCATGGCAGCCCCTTGCCGAGGGCAAGCAGCACAGATGTGCTGTGCACCTGCCCTGTATGGGCTGTGCTTAGAATGGGGATGGGATGGATGCAGCCTCATCTCCAGATCCCCTATGGAAGCTGCCGTCAAGGAATTCGTGGCTTCAAGGAATTCCTGTAGCATAAATGCTGCATCCCAGGCTGCCCCCTGTCCCCATGGGGCAACAAGGGCTCAACAACCCCATCCGTGGTGTCCCATCCTTGCAGGGCAATGGCAGCTCAGGGACAAGGCATAACCCTGTGAGGGATTTCCAGCAGCCCCACACTCAGGGGGAAGCTCCTGCCCCACACCTACAGCCCGGTCCCCATGTGCAGGGGACACCGAGGCCAGCCCCGGCCAGCAGCACCATACCTGCTCTGTCCCTGCACTAAGGTCCTGCATAAGCATAGGAAGGTCTCCCCAGCACTGCTGCCTTGCTCACACACCTGTGCCCAGGCTGCAAGATGCAAGGGAACCAACTGCCCTGTCCCCATGGTGTTCCCATGCAACTGTCTGGGAAAAGTGGCAGGAAGGGCTTGGAGAACACAGTGCTGCTGCTCAGTGTGAGAGATGCAGGTTCAGCTCACTGGGACCAGGGGACCTGCTGCTCTGGTCCATCCCGCCCTCCAGAACACAGCTCTGGTCATGTGTAGTTTCTGTTTTATTCCTTAGGTAATATTTATATATGAATATAGGTTGAGGACTCCTGGGTTCCCCACAGCACCGGGGCAGGAGGCAGGGAGTGGAGCAGGGCTCCAGCTGGGCATGGGGCTGGGGGCTCGGGGGTTCATCCCCGCAGCCGTGGGATTGCACTGAGTTACAGAGAAGTGGGGGGGCCTGCCTGCGGCCCCATCCCCTCCCACCCGGCAGGGCCGGGGGCTGGGGTCACCTCTCCTTTGGATGGGATAGGAACCAAGGAGGGATCAAGGATAGAAGAGCTGAGACACGGCCCCAAAGAGGGCAGGGGGAAGGAAGAGCCCTGGACCCTGGGAGAGACGGGCAGGGGCATGCGAGCAGGGGGCAACGGGATGGGGCAGAACCGGGTTGGTGCTCATTCACCGTCGGATCCATGAAACGTCTACGATAGAAAAGAGAGAAGCTGTGAGCGGGCCAAGCGCTGCCCCCAGGGTGTCTCCACGGCCCCTGATCACAGTGAGCGATGGACGCGCCGTCCAGTCCGGGTAGAAAAGCCGAGGCCGCGGTCACAGCCGGGTCTGCGCCTCGGGGATGTAGATCTCAATGCTGTCTGCGCTCTCAGTGGCCGAGTTCTGGCGGAAGGAGGCGGCGCGTTTGGCTGCCAGGAGCCGCTTGCGTGCCTCCTGCCGCTGCCGGTCCACCGAGTCCAGGGAGCGCTCCTTCACCGGGTGCACCTTGGAGCGCGGCGGCTTCTTTGGTATCGGGGGAGGCACCTTCTTCTCCTCCTGCACAGACAGTGGGAGAGCCTCAGGGTGAGCGTGGGACCGGCCCTGAGCCTCCTTTCCCCCCCTGCCAATGTCAGAGCGATGAGATGAGGCTGTGCTGTGCATCCCTCCTTGCAGCTGCACGTGTGCAGAATCGTGCCTGGCCCTTGGCACACGGCACTGCCCAGAATCCAGCTGCAATATCACAGCAGAGGAATGGCCTCATTTTTTCCTGTTCTTTGTTTTTCAAGTGTTTGCTAAAAGCACCCGCTGGCTCTGCTGGCGGTAACTCTACAGCAGTGGTTTGGCCACAGATGTGCTTGGGGATGAAATGAAAGGAGGGACGTGCACAGCACCAGCCCTGCGCAACCCTAGCGAGCCCTGCCCTTACCTTGGGCTCAATGATCTTCCACCCGTTGGCCTTGAGCTGCTGGAGCTCTGCAAACTTCATGCTGACATCCTCAATGGAGAGCTGCAGCAGGTCCCAGAAGCCGGCCAGGTCTTGGAAGGTGGGCACTGGGAATGCGTTGGGATCCTGTGGGGACATTGAGGGAGACCACGTGGGTCACATTTCACGTGCAGGACACCCGCTGTGCTGGCATCACCCCAGCAGCCGCAGGCTCAGCACACCCCAGGATGGTGTTCAGGCACTCACCATGTTCTGCTGGCAGAGTCGGTAAAACTGCTGCACCTTCTGGGACATGAGGAGCTGAGCACTGCCCACGGCACTCCGGATCTTCTCTAGGACTGGCGGTGCCGGGCAGAAAGCAGACAGTCATATCTCCTACGGGGACACGGGCATCCCCTCCCCACCACTCAGCGAGGGCCCCGCTCCACCATTTGGGATCCCCAGAGACGTCTACACTGATCCCAACCTCTCGACCCTCCCTGAGCCAGGTGGCACCACCGAGATGCTCCAAGTGAGAGCAGCGCGGTGCAGCCCTGGGTACCCGGCCCCACTCACTCTCCTCCGGCAGGTCGTAGTCCTCGGCCTCCCGCTCCATCTGCTGGCACCAGCCCTCCATCTTCTCCACCTCAGCCTGCAGCAGTTTGATGAACCATTCCCCATCGCGGTGGCAGGGGGAGGCACGGCCAGAGTCAGGCAGGCTGCGGGAGCCCCGCTCCATCCACGCATCACGGCGTGGCACCTCCACTGCATCGTACTGCATCTGGTAGTCCTCCCGGTACGCCCACTGGCCCTGCGTGTGCACTGTTTTGTACACTGCGTACTGCCGGCCGGACTCGGGCTCCGAGGAGTGCCGCTGGAAGGGGCGGCCAAACTGCAGAGCTTTGTCCTCAGTGGCCACAGCCAGCCCGGCAAAGCCCTCCAGCTCCAGGTCTGCCTGCACACCCGCCGTCACGCTGTTGGAACGCTTGAAGCGGGCGCGCCTGGGACAGAGAGAGCGTGTGGGGTCGTTGTGGTGAGGATGCTGGGAGCCACGGGGCCAGCGAGGACATCCCTACCATTCCTGTCCCCCTGTGGGCACCGTCCTGGGGTTGGGGACAGCCAGTATTTGGGGCTGCAGGGACAGCCCTGAGCAGCTGCATCTTTCCTGTCCCTCATTTCCCGTGCTCTTAGCCCGTTTCCATGGCTACCAGTGCTGGACGATGCTGGAGGATGCAGAGCAGTGTGCACCAGGGTGGGTGGGCACACTCCCAGTGCTCATCTGCTCATGCACCATGCAGGTCCCAGCACACAGCACGCCCACCCATGCAAAAATTCATGTTTTGTTGCAGAAAAGCCCAGAATTTTCACCCACATCTGTGCAGGTTTCGAGCTGAACCCCAGTAAACGAGACCCCAACACAGTGTGGGAGCAGGGTATCCCCTTCCCCAGGCTGTCCATTACAAGCAATGAAGTATGAGCACCAAGGCCAGATTCTGCTCCTTATGGGGGCAGAAGGCTCAGGATAGGGATGGTGCTGAGCTCTGGGAGCATCAGATGAGAGAAAGTGATGCAGGCAGGAACTGGGTCAGTTCAGAAAGCCCAGGAGGGATCCAACTGGGGAAAGCCACTGGCCAAGGAGCTTGGCAAGGCATACCTTTTGTCTTCCTCCACCTGCACCCCGATGGAGTGGAACTCCCTCTGGCTCCGGCTCTCCGTGTCCGAATCAGAGACAGCCTCAACCTGCCAGGGGCAGAGGGAGAGCATGCTGGAGGGTGGCCCCATACCATAGGCATCCAGTGCCCAGAGAACGCTGCACTGTTAGGAGAGTGGGTGGGCACAGGGGTGGCATTAGGGCCGCTATGGTGGCACAGGGGGTGGCATTAAGGCCACACAGAGGACACTGAGGTGGCTTTAGGGCCACTGTGGTGAGCAT